TCTGCTCCTCGCTTGGTCGAGGTCTGATGCGTTCCTTGCATCACCCTCCTCGCCTCATCCTTCCCATGGATCATAGCCTCAAGATCGTTTTCTGGAACGTGCGCGGGCTCAATAGCCAGGCCAAGCGCACCGTCGTCCGTTCTGTCATCGCCCCAATTGAACCTTGTATTGTATGCCTCTCGGAAACTAAGCTGAGTTTGATCTCGTTGTCGACTGTGTATGAGATCCTGGGCCCCTTCTTCTCGGACTTCTACTTTTTGCCCGCCATAGGCACACGTGGCAGAATCCTATTGGCCTGGCGTAGCGACCGCGTCGCCCTTGCCAATCCCATCGTGGGCACGTACCATGTCTCTGCCACCGTTTCCCTCGGCGCCGACACGCCCCCTTGGTGGCTCACGGGCGTCTACGGACCGCAAGACGTTGACGGCAAGATTGCCTTCATGGCCGAGCTCCACGACTTGTGCGACATCATTGCCAGCCCCTGGCTCCTCGGCGGCGACTTCAATATGATCACCTCTTGTGCGGACAAGAACAACGGCAACCTCAACCATCGCACCATGAGCCGCTTCCGTCGGTTCATTGCCGACCACGCCCTTCGCGGCATCTATCTTCACGGGAGGCAATATACGTGGTCTAACGAGCAAAACAACCCAACCCTGGTGCGCAACGACCGCGTTCTATGCACACCTTCCTGGGAGACCATCAACCCGCAGCACCTCCTACGCTGCTTGTCTACGGCCACCTCGGACCATTGCCCCTTGCTCATCGACTGTGCGCCCCGCGGTGCGAGCAAGCGCCGTTTTCACTTCGAACGATTCTGGCCCAAGCTTAATGGCTTCCACGACGCGGTGCATGAGGCTTGGAACACCGTGCCACCGGACCCTGATCCGTTCCGGCGCATCTATGCCAGGCTCAAGGCCACGGCCTGTAGACTCCACAGTTGGGGGGCGCGTACTACTGGCAAGATCTCCCTGCAGTTGCAGATCGCGCGCGAGCTCATCCTTCGCCTGGACATGGCCCAAGTTCAACGCCCCCTCACGCCGGCCGAGGGCTGGTTGCGGCGCGAGCTCAAGCGCGCTTACCTCGGCCTCGCCTCCCTCGAGCGATCTATCCTCCAGCAGCGGGTTCGCCTCAGTTGGCTCTGTGATGGCGACACTAACGTCGTGTTCCTTAAGATCCAGGCAGCGCACCACACGCAGAAGAACTACATGGATGGCATCCAGGTGGGCTCGCAAGTTCTCACCGACGAGGTGGACATGGCGAAAGCTGCTTTCAAGCACTTCACCTCCATTCTGGGCTCCTTTGCCCACAGGGAACACTCCCTCGACCTTGACGGCATTGATCCTCGCCACTTTGATCTGCTCGACCTTGAGCACCCTTTCACGGAGGATGAGATTTGGAACGCCGTAAAGAATCTGCCCACGGGCAAAGCGCCCGGTCCGGATGGGTTCACAGCGGAATTTCTACGTGCATGCTGGTCCACGATCAAGACCGACATCTATGAGGCCTTTGGCAAGCTCTATGCCATGAATGGCATGGGATTCCAGAAGCTTAGTGAAGCTTTGCTAGTTCTTCTTCCCAAGAAACTGGACGCGGCCGCAATCCCCGACTACATGGCCGATCAGCCTGATTCACATCATCGCCAAACTTTTCGCCAAGGTCCTCTCCCTTCGTGTGGCGCCCAGGATGAGCCAGATCGTCTCGACTAACCAGAGCGCATTCATCGCCGGCCAGAGCGTGCACGACAACTTCCTCCTTGTCCAGCAAACGGCGTGCTTGCTTCACAACCTCAAGGCCCCGCGCATTCTTCTCAAGCTCGACATTGTGAAGGCGTTCCACACCGTATCCTGGCCGTTCCTTCTTCAAGCTCTCCGCCACCTTGGCTTCGGGCATCGCTGGTGCGAATGGGTGTGCATCTTAGTTTCCACCGCATCCACGCGGGTTCTCATCAACGGCAACCCAGGCCCTTCGGTGGATCATGCCTGCGGGCTCCGCCAAGGCGATCCGATATCCCCGCTCCTCTTCACGATCGTGATCGACACCCTGAACTCCCTCCTCTAGCACGCGGTCAGCGCGGGAATGCTACAACGGCTAACCACCCGCCATGCCGCTTCCAGCATCTCTCTGTACACTGACGATGTGGTCGTCTTCTGCCATTCGACCACCACGGAGCTCGCCACCATCTGTGAGTTGCTCCGGATCTTCGGCGAGGCCTCGGGTCTCCGCACGACTTCCTCAAGTGCTCGGCCACACCCATACGATGCGATGAGGAGGCGCCTTCGACCATCGAGTCCACGCTCGCGTGTGCAGTCACCAGCTTCCCTGTGGTATACCTGGGCCTGCCATTGTCCGTGCGCAAGACACCCTCCTCGTCCTTGCTACCGCTCGTGGACAAGATCACGCAGAAGCTGGCCACTTGGAAAGCCGCGCTCCTGACCCGTGGCGAGCACCTTACGCTCGTGCGCCACGTGCTCTCCGTCATGCCCGTGCACATCCTCATGGCCATCACCATCAACCCGACTATCCTCAAGAAGATCACGCGGATCATCTGTGACTTCCTCTGGCATGGCCGGCGCGACGCCAGATCAGGCAGCTGCCTTGTAAGCTGGCCGCGCGTCTGTCGACCGATCGAGTTCGACGGACTTGGCGTGCGTGACTTGCACCTCACCGGGATCTCCCTGCGCTGCCGTTGGCTTTGGCTCAAAGCCACTGACCCCTCGTGGCCTTGGCATCATCTGTAGCTCCCTAAGGACGAGGTGACATCTCGCTTCTTCCGCGCCTCCACATCCTGGCACCTTGGAGATGGGAAAACATGCCTCTTTTGGAGCGACCACTGGCTTGACGGCCAGGTCGTCTCCGAGCTCGCCCCCGGCCTTTTCTCTCTCGTGCCGAACTGGCGCAGGCGGCACACCTTGGTAAGCGAGGGCCTCGAGCAGCATGCATGGATTCGCGACATCCACGGCGCGCTCGGGATCCCAGAGGCCCTCGAGTACATCAACCTCTGGCGCAAGCTCCAAGGCGTGACCCTTACCACCACGCCCGACAAGATATCCTGGCGTTGGACGACAAACGGCATTTACTCGGCCAAATCTTGCTATCACGCTCTCTTCCACGGATCCACTACACCGCCCTCCTGGAAGCTTCTTTGGAGGAGCTGGGCCCGTCTCAACAGCAAGTTTTTCCTTTGGCTTGCCTCTCTGGACCGGTGCTGGACGGCTGAGCGCCGTGCACGTCACGGCCTCACGCACAACACCGTTTGTATCCTATGTCACCAGGAGACGGAATCCATCGACCACCTCTTAGCTGGATGCGTTTTTGCCCGAGTCACCTGGCATGAAATCCTGGCCTGGTGCCGGCTCATCACTCCGCCCATGGATGGCGCGACGACCTTCTTCGCTTGGTGGGCGCTTGCGTCCGCCACCTCGCCGAGCGGCCTCCGCAAAGGGCTCAACTCCATCGTCACTCTGACCGCTTGGGCCATTTGGAAGCATCGTAACGCCGTCATCTTCGACGGCCTGCACCCCTCCACCGACGATCTCGTGCTCTCCATCCAGGATGACGCTCGCCCAAGGGACTAGCCGCTATTATCCCTGTAACCTGATCACTTGTAGCGAGGCTGAGCATCCTCCTTCTCCTGCTCGCTGCATCCCTCCAGACACCTTCTAGTGTATGTCTGCATGGATGCCTCCTGTACCAACTTTTCTCCCTCTATCAATGAAATGATACGCTGCTAAGCGTATTCACCAAAAAAAACATATATTTGTGAATGTTTAACATTTCTTCAAAGAAAATGTTCCAAACATGTATTTGAAAAATGTTCAGCATGTATCAAAAAAATTATACCCAAGTATAAGAAAAATGTATAACATGTATTGAAAAAATTGACATGTATTTTAAAAAAAATAAGAAGAGAATAAAATGAAGAGCAATTTGTAATGCCAAAGAAAATCCGTAAAGAACCGCAGAGAAGAAGAAAGAAAAGGTAAAAAAAGTAGAAAAAAATGAAAAACAGAAAATCCGAATAGAAAAAGAAAACTGAAAGAAAAAACGAACACAAAAGAAAACCAGAGCGAAGCACACCAAACCGGAAAAACCAGCATGAACGAACTGTTCCTGAGCGCACAGAAAAACCACTAGCTCGACCGGCCCGTTCGCAGGATCGCTGATGGCGAGACAGACCTCTGGTCTCGCAGCGGGCGAGAAGGTTAGTCCCTGCACCTGACTTTTTGGCGTGAGGAACTGCTTGAGCAATGAATGATGGGCCCCATCTGGCTTGAGGTGACCAAGTTCAGACAGTAAAATGTTTGCTTCCTGTTCTATTTGGTGGAATTGTAGTCACACTACTCTTCTTTCAGTTATTGCCATTTGGATTATTTAAAATCTTTTATCTTACACAACCGACTGTCCATGAGAGTCACATCAACCAGCTGAAGCTGTTCTGTGACAAAGACTACCCCAAGAAGGCACCATCTGTTAGATTACATTCAAGATTACTTCATCTCTTCCTTGCTCCATGTCAATCCATGCATAAAAGACTGTTTTTCATTGGTTGCCGTGTTGATGCAGGTTGACCCGAAGAAGTTCAGTGTGCTAGCAAAACAATTTTGACCCAGCTGAAGAAAGATATGGCAGCCGCGCAGAACCGCAAGTTGGTGCACCCTCCAGAAGGGACATTGTATGCTGGCCCATCTCCAGTTTCAGCAGTAGAGATCTATATCACTCCCATGTGAATCTGAATTATACCATCCATCACACAGAAACTACGTAAAATAGAAATGCGCTTTCTAGGCCCAAAGATACAACAATTTTGCTTCACTGCTCTTCTAGCAGTAAGGCCATCACATATTACAGTTTAAAACTTCTCCCTCCGTCCCACAATATAAGAACGTTTTTCAAGCTAACATAGGTTGAAATGATCTTATATTGTGGAACGGAGGAAGTACGTAAGAAGGAATAGCTAAATCTTCTTCTGATGTCAAATTTTTGAATCGTTTCTTAAATCAGACCGCAGGGGCCTTTTGGTTGCCCATTCCAAATAAATTCTCAAACAATTTTGAAGCCATCGGAGGAACTGTCATCGGTACCGGGGCCATGAAATTAGCAATCTTCTCGTGGACACTGTACCTGAAAATAACATAAAGAGGTTGATAGCAATTCCATGGAAGAAAATCGACTACACCCAAAGTAAGCCTACCTTATCTTTCTGCTCTTCGAAGCACGGCGGTCAACAAGTTTTCTCTTCTTGTGCTGCTTCTTCCTCAGAGCATAAAATGCGGATTCTGCGAACATTGCAGCACCATGGTCCATCAGTGCATTCAGGGCAACAACAAAAAGAGATGTGCAGGTGAACACTAGTTGGATATGAACTAACCAGATGCCCCCGTATCACATGACTCGAGAAACTCCTTGAGAAGTTGATGATAAAATTCAGAATCATCGATGAGTTCAGGATCACCTTCCACATCTTTGCCCTGAGTTGCAACAAGGGGTGAACATATGAGACCAGGAAGGGTACTACACACCACATCCTAAATAGTCAGCGAGATAAATAACTGAGGCTACATGAAGTTTCGCCTCAATGGAAGAAATGAACTACATTAGAACACATAACACGAAATCTGAATAGAACAAATGAGAGACAAGCAAGCTTGAAATAATTTAACTAAAGAATGAAGTATTGCTCAAACCTCAACAGCAGTAGCAGGCTGTGCTGCACTCTGCAAAATGAAAGAGAAGACACAAATCAATCATTATAATTACAAGTAGAAACTGAACTTGTGGCCCTTTATAATAGATGAATCTAAAATACCTCCCCAAATACACCAACATCAGATTTCCGCAGGTACATCCTGTTAATCATCCTGCTTGGGTCCCTCATATAACCAGCAACTTGGTCACTTATTTTCTGTTCTCATACAAGTACAACAGGGGAAAGCAGAGGTTTTAGCATTGTAGATATCTAGGCATGTTCCACAATAACAAAGTACTATAAGTAGTTAAATAGGCATTCAGCTAACCTGATTAAATGCGTGCAACTTTCCTTTCAGTGCAGCAGCGCCAGTTGTGACCTGTGTTTTCCTCTGCCATTTATCTATCTCAGTATTTCTGAACAGGGTTATTCTGTACAAAAACCATGATACCAAACGCTGTTTTATGTTGTATATGTGCAGAAAGTCAAGAAGAAGAAAAACAGCCCAAGCAAAATACATACAGGTGCAATTTGACAAGTTCTAGAACCGACACACCAAGTTTGGTTTTCCAGTTACTGCCTTTTTTTAACAGAAAATATCTGCTTAGTGCTTCTATATTAGTTTGTGTATACTTATAATCATTTATCCCGTGCATGCTAAGTTAAGGATTCGCCAGTATGGTGGAACTAATTATTTTTTCTTGCTGGATGTTAGTCTCAATACAAGTTGCCAAATTCACCAACATTAATCAGGAATAGGTAGCAAATTAGCAATCCAGAAAACAATGTCTGTAAAGATGAAACCTAAAAAGAAATGAAAAAGTAGCAGCGCCACAAACAATTCGCTAACTCAAATGCATTTAAGAAACTATTATAATACAGGAGCAGGGGAGAGTTTAAATGATCGGTATTAAGCATAAAACACATTCTACTGGTATGATACGGTATAAAAGCACAAAACACATTATACTGGTATATAAGTGCAGAACTGCATAAGTGCTGATTAACAAAAGATCTGCTGCTATGCAAGACACTGTAACACATTGAAGAGTATATCCCACAGTACTTCATCAGAGTCTCTTTTAATGCAAAAGGTTACCTTGTCTGCACTTTCTGCATTTGCAACCACTCGTCATTCTCTCCAGTTGAATTAGGCAAAGCATCTGTGGTAAGTCCGGATTACCAAACGTTTCGAGGCATCTTTCAGAATGAGAGAGACTGGATTACAGTAGTACCTTTCACACCCTTTGCGGCCTGGTTCCGCTCTAGTAAAGCCTACAGGTAGTTTTGGGGAGCATATTGTGGGCAGTAAGGAAACCTGGACTAACAAATGTATAGACTATACTGTAGTGTTGAAGCAAAAAACATGAGCAGGTGCCCGAACCTCCTGCAGCTCAAGCATGGAGCCAAGAGTCTGTTTCGACGAGTCCAACAGATCAACGTATGCTTGCTCTATCTCCTTATCGTGACTGCAGAACCTTGACTTGGTGGGATCCTGCAAGAACAGAACAGTATATACATTAGAATGTGGCCTACAATCATGCATTCTTCAGAAGTAAAATCAATTACGATGAATAAATGAAGATGGATGTTACGGCCATGGGAGAGAAACAGACCTTGGGAAGCTTGTTTGAAGTGGTAAATGCCTTTTGCAGCAAGAATCTCATTTCCAGGGTCTTATCCCATAGCGCCTTCAGTAAACAGAAATTGGATGTAAAGGTTAATAGTTTGAAAGCTTAAGTACAATGAATGTGAAGGATACATTTTGGTTTTTGACTGCCTGGCCTCTCGAGACATCATCATCCCTGTGCTGTTTCAAGGTCTGAAGAATGCTTCTGCGCGTGAAAGAAAAATGTGTGCTTATGCGGAACTAGAAGAGAAGAAATGCAAGTAAGATCATGAAGCAGATTGTAAAGTAAACCGTGTGAAAGTGAGGCATGTGGAGGACGGGTGGAAGGGAACATTACTGTTGATTGGCCTGGAGGGTGCGATACTCCTCCTCGAGCTCCCCCAGCTCACCATCATCCTCCTCTTCATGGTCGCTCTCCTCCTCATGGTCGCTCTCCTCGTCGCTCTAACCAAAGAGAGACAGGCACAAAGTAGCTAAGCAATCCAAGTATATGAACAAAAGGAAAATGAGAGGGGGAGGAGAGTTACGTCAGAGAAATCTTGGTCGCCGTCATTGGCAGCGCTCCCTGCGGGGAAGAAGCCGTCCTCTGGGTCGGAGTTGTCGTGGAGGTTGAGGTCGGAGTCGCTGCCGGAGTCGGAAGAAGCCTCCGAAAGGGGAGGAGAAGGGGAAGGTGCTGCCTTGCGGCGCTTGGGTGCGAGTGGCGCCATCTCCTCCTCGGCGGAAAGAGGAGGGGAAGCTTGCCTGACGAGACGGAAGAGGAAGGAGAGGCTTCTCTTTCAGTTGCAGGCCTCCGGAAGGGTATCCGCAAAACCCCAAAGAAGCAAGTAATCCCTGTCCAGCTCACCTCAGTCAGCCGGCAGAGCTTAGGCTGGTGCGGCGTGCGGGAGCAAGAGAGGCAACCGCCGGAGTTCTCCGGCGTCGCGGGGCAGGACGGCGCAGCCGAGCAGCGGGGTGGATGAAGCGGGGCAGGAGAAGCTAGGAAGGTGGGGCGTACGCGGGTCAAGTCAGCCGCCGATGTGCAGGCTCCGCGCTTGAGAAGGCAGCCGTCGACGTGCAGGCGCCGCGCCGCCGCCGATTGACTTCGGTAGTTCGGGAATGCAGCACCGCCAGCGCCTAGGGGTGAGGAAAGTTGGGGGTTTGAGCAATTTGCTAATCGGGTTGGGCCTATATTGCTAGTTGAGTTAGGCCTATCTAAAAAATGCTACTCCCTCCGTTCCAAAATAGATGACTCAAATTTGTATTAAAATTAGTACAAAGTTGACTCATCTATTTTGGAACGGAGGGAGTAGTTGTGTTGGGCCTGGAGAATGTACAAAATGTAGTTGGGTTGGGCCTATCTACATCCAAAAGCTAGTTGGGCTGGGCTCTCGTTCTGTCCAGCGCATCAGCGCATTGTCTGATTCCGCGAGGAAGAACCGGGAGCAACTAGTTAACGAGCGCTCCTTCGGGAACCTCGCAACGATCAGCGCCATTTGGCGCGCTCTCAGCCATTTGCCACGTGTCGCGCTCGGGACGCTCTCTTCGGATTTTATTTTATTTTTCACACATGTTTTCGGCTTTTTAAACGGTTTTTTTCCGGGGTTTTTCGACGTTTTGGTTTTCCCTCGGTCTTTCTTAGCTTTTCGATCAAAAAAAATTCGAAAAAAAAAATTGCGCGAAAAAACGCGTTTTTTCCTTTCGTGAAAGTCACGGTTTTTCTTCCGCGAGAGGCACGGTTGTGCTTTAGCGAGAGTCACGGCCGTGCCTTTCGGAAACGAAAAAAATGCGTTTTCTGTTTTTTTTCTTTCGCGAGAGTCACGGTTTTGCTTCCGCGAGAGGCACAGTTGTGCTTTCGCGAGAGTCACGGCCGTGCCTCTCAGAAAGGGAAAAACAAAACGTGTTTTCTGTTTTTTTTTCTTTCGGTAGAGTCACGGTTTTGCTTCCGCGAGAGGCACGGTTGTGCTTTCGCGAAAGTCACGGCCGTGCCTATTAGAAAGGGAAAAAATACGTGTTTTCTGTTTTTTTTCTTTCGCGGGAGTCACGGTTTTGCTTTCGCGAGAGGCATGGTTGTGCTTTCGCGAGAGTCACGGCCGTGCTTCTCGGAAACGAAAAAAAAACGTGTTTTCTGTTTTTTTTCCTTCCACGAGAGTCACGGTTTTGCTTCCACGAGAGGCACGGTTGTGATTTCGCGAGAGGCACGGACGTGCCTCTTTCGGAAAGGAAAAAAACCATGCTCCCGGTTCGGTTTTTTCGCCCGGTTTTTTTCGTCCGATTTTTTTCGTGAAAAAAAAGTTCATCAAAACCTATCAACATGGGATCTAGTTTTGAAGATCTCGACGTGAGAAATCCAAAGGTGAAAACAGTTCAAGATTTGGACGCACGGTTTAAGAGATAAAACGTTTTGAATAAACGGATCTACGAAAAAAGGGAAAACTCCCAGGTTGCGACAAGTGGCGCGCTGCATGTGCGCCACTTGTCGCGACCTGGGAAAGTGGAGTGTTCTTTGCAACGAGTACTCCTTAATTAGTGATTTCGGGAAGAACCGAGCGCAAAAGTTTTCTAAAAAAAAGAACCGAGCGCTAAACAGTGACTTTCTGCTATGACAAGAACAATGTCGTGCATTGCAATGGGATATAAATATTCTAGTAGGTTATCTTATGATTTACCTGTCAATAATAATACGATTATGTAAATAAATATTCATCAAATTTTGACCATGAATCACTTTATATTTTGATTAGAAGTTTGGTAAGTAAATTTAAATGAAATTTGTTCAGAAGATAAGTAAATTAAGATGATTGATTATCATATGTATGAAAGGTTAAACGAAGGATGGTGGGAAGAAAGGTGAAATAAAACCTTATGTTTTTTTAAGTACTCCCTCCTTCCCAAAATATAAGGCACCGATTGACTTTTTTGGTCTTCATTCCATAACTTTAACTATGATTTTAACCTATTATATGTATATAAAATTAGTATACAGATATATGAAATAAAATTGTTTGGTAAGACAAATACCAAGATGCCATTTATACA